ACTTGGTCTTTGTGACTGTACTCTCCGTTGGTTGGAATCTTACCTATCTCACCGCACCTTCAGGGTCACAACTCTACCTCCTCGTCTCCTACTACTCTTACTGTCGGGGTCTCCCAAGGTTCTGTCCCTGGACCTCTCCTATTCTCGATCTACACCTCTTTCTTGGGTCAGCTGAGAGCTTCCTATGGTTTCCAATACCATTTCTATGCTGATGACACACACAAATATATCTCTCTACTCCTCAGCTCACCCCATCAGAGTTCCTCATGTATCACCGATTTACTAACAGATATATCAGACTGGATGTCACACCACTTCCTAAAACTCAATCTATCCAAACCTGAGCTCATAATATTTCCTCCCCCATGTGCCTCTTCCCCCGATTTCTCGGTCAGGATCAATAGCACCACTATCAATCCATCCCCACATGCCAGGGTGCTAGGGGTAACCCTGGATTCTGAACTATCCTTTCAGGCCCACATCCAATCCCTATCTAAATCATGCCGCCTCAACCTGAGCAACATCTCCAGAATACGCCCCTTATTAACCAAGGATACCACAAAGCTCCTAATTCACTCCCTGGTCATCTCTCGACTTGACTACTGCAACTCCCTCCTCATTGGCTTACCTTTACATAGACTATCCCCCCTCCAGTCCATCATGAATACTGCTGTCAGGCTCATCCAACTTACCAACCATTCAGTGTCTGCTACCCCTCTTTGCCAATCCCTCCACTGGCTTCCACTTGCCTAAAGAATAAAATTCAAAATACTAACAACACCTTACAAAGCCATCCACAACTCTGCCCCCCAGCTACATCACCAACCTGGTCTCAAAATATCAACCAAACCGCTCTCACTGATCCTCCCAAGACCATCTGCTCTCTAGTTCCTGTGTCACCTCCTCCCATGCCTGCCTCCAGGACTTCTCCCGAGCTCCCACCCTATGGAACTCCCTATCCCAATCTGTCTGACTATCTCCTAATCTATCCACCTTTAGATGATCCCTGAAAACCTTTCTCTTTAAAGAGAACAAACAGCTATCAACCAAACCACTTTCTTCGATCCTTCCAAGACCTTCTGCTCTCTAGTTCCCATGTCACCTCCTCCCATGCTTGCCTCCAGGACTTCTCCCGAGCTTCTCCCATCCTATGGAACTCCCTACCCCAATCTGGCCACTATCTCCTAATCTATCCACCTTTGGACAATCACTGAAAACCTTTCTATTTAAAGAAGCCTATCCTGCTTCTAACTAGTAAACTGCCATTTATTTCCTCCATCAGCTCATCCCCCACAGCTATTACCTCTTGTATCATTCAACCCTCCCTCCTAGATTGTAAGCTCCAACGAGCCGGGCCCTCTGTTTCCTCTTGTACCAAATTGTATAGTAACTGTAATGTCTACCTTCATTTTGTAAAGCGCTGTGCAAACTGTTGGCTCTATATAAATCCTGTATAATAATAATAACAATAATATTGTGTTATTGATATTATGTGTTTTAATTTTTAATAAATGTATGTTTTGGTAGGTTTTTATAAAACATGTGGAGGATAGCAGAATATGTATTTTTTTTTTTTTTTTTTATAAGATTTTTCATTGGATTTTTCATTTTCTTTTTTTTAGATATTTTACTTTTCATCCACAAGATGGCGTTTGACACTAGCTGGTATTGAGGCAGCATTTTGCTGGATAAGTTCTTACAATTCAAGTTTTATTAGTTATCTGAATGATGGATCGCTCATTGCAATATACATTTTTTTTTATAGAGGGTGCTTGATATGAGCTTGTAATTCAGCTGTATCGCACTGAAAATTCCCACACAGTGGGGGGTTAAATGACCATTCACATCCAGTAGGTATTTCTTCCAATCAGGTTGTGATCCTCCCTGTGTTATGGTGTATATAAGATTAGAGCAGGAGCGGTGAGTGTCCTGTGGTCCTGATGACATCACCTGTGATGAAACGCATTGGGTGGAGCCAGAACAGACACCAAATTAGCGATCAACATCTGTGAAATGCCTGTTTATCATCATTCCATGGTAAGTGCATTTACTTTATTAAATCTGCATATTTACTGGCTTACACTATGGGGAGTGTCTTCTTTCTTTCTTTCTTTCTTTCTTTCTTTCTTTCTTTCTTTGCAACATCTAATGTTTGTGTAGTATTATGTTCACCAGACTGTGATCTTCTATTGTGACTTAGATGACGTTCAGAGCACATTTTATGCCCAATTCATGCAAAACTCCACGTAATCCCAAGGGGTTCACATACTTTTTCTTGCAACTGTATATTGGTTTCCCTATTTTTGCTTTAGTCGCTGGGCAGGAGGGATATACAGGCATAAAAAAGTAGTAGTTGCCATGAGCCTACTACCGAGTTAGGTAATAAACACCCAAACAATGTAGCTTATATGTAAAATCACATATTCCTTTTAGGAGAGAAGCTAATATCCGTGGATGGTGACATATACAGGCGTACCTCTGTTTACAAATGTAATGCTTTCTGCAGGACTTTTCGTATTGCGAAAAATTTGTAAACCAAAACGCGGTTTCCCATTGGAATGTATTGAAAACCTTAGTGTCCTAACAGCTGGAGAGATGTAAGCAAAGGCCCACATCCGGCCTGCGGCGTGTAGTTTGAGGACTGCTGGCTTAGATCAATAGAAAAAAAACAACCTGTTGCTGTAACTGCTTAAAAAATGTTAGCTGTAGTTGGGAGTTAAAACCCCAAATCTTGTAGGGGGACTCCGTATAATGAATACAGCACTGCCTGCCTGGGTAAATGTAGCTTAAAGCTGGCCATACACAAGTGAGGTGGACAAAGGAATATATTTATTAGCGATCATTAATGAGCCCCAGTGAATAGTTCCCCACCACTACACAGACAGCCATGAGGACACTGTCAGAAGCCTGGGAAAGTCCAGTTCTTATTGTTTGGTAATTATTATGTCACTGGAATTTTATCAGAGAAAAAACAACTTTACTTCTACTTTCTGTAACAGTTAAAACGATATTAAACCTAAAAACTATCATTTATTATATTGCAGCTTAACAATTCTTAGATGTGGTGGCTGCATTCATTTTCCTTTATTTTCACCAGGTGATCAGGCCAGTAAGTCTGTTGGTTATTTTTCATCTTCCTATAGCTTCCCTAGCGGTCTGATTATGTCAGTATTTCTGTGCTCAAAGCGGTACATTTTTTTTTGCATGGAAATATGTTGTTTTATTATTGTAGGCCTGTAATTTTTAGGAATCACTCACTGAAATCTGTCCGAACAAGAGTCTAGTAAACATCCCGGGTATGTTAAAATTTGAAACACGAAATCATAAATTATAATGTTAATAAATAATCATAAAAAATAATAATATAATAATAATAAATTTAATTCAATAATATAATCAAACCAAAACCACTGAAATTTTAAATATAGCGCCAAGTTCGCACATCACTGAGCAAAGTCGCAGAATCATTTTCAGTGTCTGATGACAAATTTCCCCACGAATCATTATCACTCAATTCTGCAAGTGGTTCTGATTTACTATCGCTGTTCTCTAGCGGTCTAAAACCGATTTTGACCTAAAGGGACGCTTTTTGGACGCCATGGACGTTTCTCAGTTTCCAGGCAGAAAGAACAGTAAAAATGCAGGCAGGCGCACGGACAAAGCACTCGGGACAAAATGTATGTGAAATGGTTTGATACAGTAATGTTTTACTATTTGATTTTAGTGTATTTAGTGAATGTCACTTTTTCACATTTTTAAATTTCCCGCCGTTCCGTCCCCGTACGTCCTGACGCTCGCAGGGGATGGAACCCGGAAGACAGATGCCGGCATCCGCCGGAGGACATTACAGGGGACACTGCAGGAGGGACATCGTGGGAGCGCAGGACAAGGTAAGTGATAGAGGGATCCCGGAGCAACGCTGCATGGTATTCCCGAGTGTAGCTCAGGGTTTACCGCTTGTGGTGCTGAAACTTTACCCCGAGCTACACTCGGGAATACTGCCAGGGAGGCTAACAGACCAAGCTGTCCAGCAAAAGTGACAGCTAGAGGGCTGATTAGAGCATTTACCTGATGTATGACAAGAAGACACAAAATGCAGGACTTTACTGCCATTAAAGGGGAACCCACACATATCTGTATAAAAATTCAAATTGTATTCATTATACAAGAACAACATTTCAAATCTCTGTAACTGAATATAAAACCAAAATTGCTCAATATAGATTCCAATGCTTCCTACAGCTGACTCACTCTACCACATATTAGCAGTACGTATGTCAATAAATTGATAGTGTAATATCTACAACAATAATCTGGGTGGTGAGTCCTCATGGGTCAACGTGTTTCTCTTATGCTTCCTCAGGACCCATGAGACTATTTTTTTCATCTTCCTTTAACCACTTGCCTACCAGGCATTTATACCCCCTTATATACCAGGCCAATTTTCAGCTTTCAGTGCTGCTGCACTTTGATTGACAATTGCGCGGTCATGCAACATTGTACCCATATGAAATTTTGATCATTTTTTTCTCACAAATAGAGCTTTCTTTTGGTGGTATATAATCGCCACTGGGCGCTTTACTTTTTGCGCTATAAACAAAAAAATTGCAAAAAATTAAAAAAAAAAAAAAAAAAGTTTCTTTGTTTCTATTATAAAATTTTTCAAACAGGTAATTTTTCTCCTTCACTGATGTGCGTTGATGAGGGCAGCACTGATAGGGGCACTGATAGGCAGCACTAAAGGGCACTGATTGGCAGTACTAATGAGGTGGCACGGATAGGCGGCACTGATAGGCAGCACTAATGAGGTGTCACAGATCGGTGGCACTAATATGCAGCACTGATAGGCGGCACTGATAGGCGACACTGATGATGGGTACTGATAGACGGCACTGACTGGCATCACTGCTGGGCACTGACTGGCGGCACTGACTGGCACAACCGCTGGGTACTGACTGGTGGCACTGACTGGCAGCACTGCTGGGCTGCACTGCTGGGTGGCACTAGTGGGCAGCACTGGTGTGTGGGCACAGGTGGGTGGCACTGGTGGGCACAGGTGGGTGGGCACAGGTGGGTGGCACTGCTGGGCACAGGTAGGTGGCACTTCTGGGCACAGGTGTGTGACACTGCTGGGCACAGGTGGGTGCACTGCTGGGCACAGGTGGGTGATCTGCTGGGCACAGGTGGGCGGGGCTAGTGGGCGCACTGCTGGGCACAGGTGGGCGGAACTTGTGGGTGGCACTGCTGGGCACTGATCATCGGTGCCGATCCTCGCTCTGACAACTGACGGTTCTCGGCAGTACTTTCCTCACGATCTGACAGCGTGAGGAAGGAAAGTGCAGCCGAGAACCGGCAATTGCATTTCCCTGTGATCAGCGTGTCATTGGACACGGCTGATCACGTGGTAAAAGGCCGCTGTGATTGGCCTTTTACCACATCACGTGATCAGCTGTGTCCGTAGGACACAGCGATCACGGAGATCGCCGGGGTGCGCGCCCCCTGGGGCGTGCTGGAGAGCGCGTTCTGGGAGGACGTCATATGACGTCCACCCAGAACTGGCCGGCCGCAGTGCAGCCGTCATTCGGCTATCTGCGGTCGGCAACTAGTTAATGGACCAAGCTGTCCAACAAAAGTGACAGCTAGAGGGCTGATGAGACTATTTAACAGATGTATAGTAAGGAGACACAAAATATAGGAGTTTACTGGCATTAAAAGGGAACCCACACATATCTGTATAAAAAATCAAATGTAATCCTTATACAAGAACAACATTTAAAATCTCTATAATTGAATATAAAACCTTGGGCGGGCACTGGAGCACATTAATCGGCAGCTGGTCAATCGCAATAAATCTTTTTCTGTTGGATTTCAGTCAATGGTAGAGCCCACTTGTTCATAACTGGATATATACTGCTGAAAGTAATAGTTGGCATGCATATCTGCACTACTGAAGGATAAGATACGATCCCTCTGATGTTATATATAAACTCCCAATAGTTGGACACATCCTGGAAAAGAACAGAGCATCGTGGCCCTCAATCCACCCGACATTCATAGTGCTAGGGAATACCATAGAAATCAGCCTTCAATAGCGGCGTACCACGCGTGCGTCCACCCGACATTCATAGTGCTAGGGAATACCATAGAAATCAGCCTTCAATAGCGGCGTATGTATATTCCATATAGTCCAACCAGCTGGGACTGAAAGTGCCTCATCGAGACTCCCTGGGAAAGTGGGCTTTACCATTAAATGAAATCCAACAGAGCAAAATTTACGGTGGTTGAACAGTTGCTGATTACTGTATGTGCTCCAGTGCCTGCCCAAAATTCAGTTCAGTTTTAGCAGAAGGGGAGGACAAGGGGAGATACCAAATCACATAATTAGACAAGTTGCAGTGGTCCAAAACTGCCACTAGATGTCAGCATACTACAGTCAATATTAACCTGATGCAGTTCAATACAGCACAGGAAATATATATAAGTGGGACAGAACACGGGTCCGAGCATGTAGGCCCTTTACAAAATAATCTAGAGGGGGTGACTGGGGACAAAGAGAAGGCAAATTTATTAAATATCTTCTTCAGCTCTGTGTACACAAAGGAGCATGGGGGAGCTCTTGTTCACAATGGGCATGGAATTGAAACAGCCCCAGATGATTAGACAGAATAAAGGTGAATAAAGCAATTACACAGTGCACCACGGTGGACGTGGCATACTTGGACAGAGGGGTGCGGTGGACGTGGCATACTTGGACAGAGGGGTGGCGGTGGATGTGGCATACTTGGACAGAGGGGTGGCGGTGGACGTGGCATACTTGGACAGAGGGGTGGCGGTGGACGTGGTATACTTGGACAGATGGGGGTGGACGTGGCATACTTGGACAGATGGGTTGCGATGGACGTGGTATACTTGGACAGAAGGGTGGCGGTGGACATGGTATACTTGGACAGAGGGGTGGCGGTGGACATGGTATACTTGGACAGAAGGGTGGCGGTGGACTTGGTATACTTGGACAGAGGGGTGGTGGTGGACGTGGTATACTTGGACAGAGGGGTGGTGGTGGATGTGGTATACTTGGACAGAGGGGGGTGGTGGACGTGGTATACTTGGACAGAGGGTTGGCAGTGGACGTGGTATACTTGGACAGAGGGGTGGTGGTGGACGTGGTATACTTGGATTTTGCAAAAGCGTTTCACACAGTTCCCCACACACGGCTAATATGTGAGGTAAAGTCTACAGGCTTGTTAAAATCTGTATGTAAATGGATAGAAAACTGGCTAAAAGATGGTATTCAGAGAGTAGTGATTAATGATTCATACTCTGATGGTCTAGGGGTCATCAGTGGTGTACCCCAAGGTTCAGTGTTGGGACCCTTACTTTTTAATATATTTATAAACAATATAGGGTCTGGGATTATAAATCCCATTTCAGTCTTTGCAGATGACACCAAGCTGTGCAGTGGAATAACGTCCTTACAGGATGTCTCCAATTTACAAGCCGACCTCAATGCTCTGTGTAATTGGGCAACTATGTGGCAAATGAGGTTTAATGTTGATAAATGTAAGGTTATACACTTGGGGGCTAAGAATATGCATGCATCATACATACTGGGGGGGGGGTACAACTGGGGGAATCAATAGTGAAGGAGGATCTGGGAGTTCTGGTAGATCACATGCTTAATAATGGCATGCAATGCCAAGCTGCGATTTCTAAAGCGAGCAAAATCCTCTCTTGTATTAAAAGAGGTATAGACTCCAGAGAGAGAGATATCATTTCCCCCGGTACAAATCATTAGTAAGACCTCATCTGGAATATGCAGTTCAGTTGTGGACACCAATTCACAAAAAGAACATTGGGGAACTGGAGAAAGTGCAGAGAAGGGGAACCAAACTGATAAGAGGCATGGAGGAGCTCAGCTATGAGGAAAGATTAGAGGAACTGAATTTATTCTCTCTTGAGAAGCGGAGATTAAGGGGGGGATATGATCACCATGTATAATACATAAGGGGGGATATGATCACCATGTATAATACATAAGGGGGGGGGATATGATCTCCATGTATAATACATAAGGGGGGGGGATATGATCACCATGTATAATACATAAGGGGGAATATGATCTCCATGTATAATACATAAGGGGGGGGGGGATATGATCTCCATGTATAATATATAGGGGGGGGGATATGATCTCCATGTATATATACATAAGGGGGGGATATGATCTCCATGTATAATACATAAGGGGGGGATATGATCTCCATGTATAATACATAAGGGGGGGATATGATCTCCATGTATAATACATAAGGGGGGGATATGATCTCCATATATAATACATAAGGGGGGATATGATCTCCATGTATAATACATAAGGGGGGATATGATCACCATGTATAATACATAAGGGGGGGGATATGATCTCCATGTATAATACATAAGGGGGATATGTTCTCCATGTATAATACATAGGGGGGGGGGGGATATGATCTCCATGTATAATACATAAGGGGGGGGATATGATCTCCATGTATAATACATAAGGGGGGGATATGATCTCCATGTATAATACATAAGGGGGGAGATGATCTCCATGTATAATACATAAGGGGGGATATGATCTCCATGTATAATACATAAGGGGGGATATGATCTCCATGTATAATACATAAGGGGGGATATGATCTCCATGTATAATACATAAGGGGGGATATGATCTCCATGTATAATACATAAGGGGGGAGATGATCTCCATGTATAATACATAAGGGGGGATATGATCTCCATGTATAATACATAAGGGGGGATATGATCTCCATGTATAATACATAAGGGGGGATATGATCACCATGTATAATACATAAGGGGGGATATGATCTCCATGTATAATACATAAGGGGGGATATGATCTCCATGTATAATACATAAGGGGGGGTATGATCACCATGTATAAATACATAAGGGGGGATATGATCTCCATGAACTCGGTGTAGTTATTCACCCTGAGGTCATCACAGAGGACAAGGAGGCACTCATTATGTCTGGAGGAAAAGAAATTGAATCTCCAAACACAGAAAGGTTTCTTCACAGTAAGAGCTGTGAAAATGTGGAATAGACTCCCTCAAGAGTTGGTTCAGGCCAGCTCAGTGGATTGCTTTAAAAATGTCCTGGATTCTTTTGGATACACAGAATATAACTGGATATAACATTTATAGGTAAAGGTGATCCAGGGAATATCCGATTGCCTCTCGGGGAATCAGGAAGGAATTTTTCCCCTGCAGGAGCAAATTGGATCATGCTTTGCTGGGTTTTTTGCCTTCCTCTGGACCAACTGTGGGTATAGGATTATAACTTTTTTTTTTTAATGGTTGAACTGGATGGACTTTTGTCTTTTTTCAGCCAGACTAACTATGTAACTATGTGACACACAGTTTACATTTTAAAAATACAATGAATGTATTTCTGACCGCAGATCTGCATTGATTTGTGTTTATTACTGCAGTCAGGTCCATAAATATTGGGCCATCGACACAATTCTAACATTTTTGGCTCTATACACCACCACAATGGATTTGAAATGAAACAAAAAAGATGTGCTTTAACTGCAAACTGTCAGCTTTATTTGAGGGTATTTACATCTAAATCAGGTGAACGGTGTAGGAATTACAACAGTTTGCATATGTGCCTCCCACTTGTTAAGGGACCAAAAGTAATGGGACAATTGACTTCTCAGCTGTTCCATGGCCAGGTGTGTGTTATTCCCTCATTATCCTAATTACAATGAGCAGATAAAAGGTCCAGAGTTCATTTCAAGTGTGCTATTTGCATTTGGAATCTGTTGCTGTCAACTCTCAAGATGAGATCCAAAGAGCTGTCACTATCAGTGAAGCAAGCCATCATTAGGCTGAAAAAACAAAACAAACCCATCAGAGAGATAGCAAAAACATTAGGCGTGGCCAAAACAACTGTTTGGAACATTCTTAAAAAGCAGCAACGCATCGGTGAGCTCAGCAACACCAAAAGACCTGGAAGACCATGGAAAACAACTGTGGTGGATGACCGAAGAATTCTTTCCCTGGTGAAGAAAACACCCTTCACAACAGTTGGCCAGATCAAGAACACTCTCCAAGAGGTAGGTGTATGTGTGTCAAAGTCAACAATCAAGAGAAGACTTCACCAGAGTGAATACAGAGGGTTCACCACAAGATATAAACCATTGGTGAGCCTCAAAAACA